GATCAGCAAAAAAAAGAGGAAGACCCTCACCTCAATAGATTGACAGAGTGGCTGCGACAGGGAGCTCAAACGTAGAAACTATGATGAGGATGGCACAGGATCAGGCAGCGTTCCACACTGTTGTACATAGGTTGCTATGATTTGAAACTGACGTGAAGGCCTCAAACAAGTTGGACTCCTGGTACGGCACTGTAGGATTGGCACTAGACTAGCCATGGGGTCGGCAGTTCAAAACCACCAGCTGCCCCTTATACAGGGTCACTATGAGGTGGACCAACTCAATGACACTTAACAGCAAGAGCATCTTAGAGTGGCTTCGTAGAGTATGTGAATGTTTAAATTTACAACATAATTGTTTGGAAGTGCTGTGGCTCTATAAGATAAACACAGCAATGGACTGCAAACCACAAGATCCATGTTCGAGCCCACCAGCCACTCCTCAGGAAAAAGATGAAGCTTACTGCTCCAGTGAAGATTTAAGAAGCCTCTGAAATCCTATACCACTTGTTTGGGGGTGTTTTTAAACTTTCTAAGTTTAATTTTCTTTTTTACTTTCAAATTCATTGTAAGGATACCCTGTCGAGTCACCAATCTTGACACTTTTGTTTTTCTTCTTCCTTTTTTCATTGGATTCTACCCTGACTTAAAAATTCCTGGGTTTTACCATCAAACCATATTCCCCAAAGAAAATGTATTTCTGAATTATTACATTTATTAATGAAAATCATCAAAATCCTTAATCTATAATACTTATTAAATTATTGGTTATTTAATAAATACTTATTAGATTATTGCTAATTTAATAAATACTTATTCAATTATTAAAGTATTACAACACTGATTATAAAAGAAAAATAGAAATTACATGATTGCAAATAATAGTAATTAAGCAAATTATGACAAAATATTATCCAACCAGTAAGTTTCAAGTTATTGAAGCATTTTATTTGAAAAAAAATGTTCATAACATACTTACAAATGAAAAAAGTCTAGAACTACCAATATATCATTTGACATCAATTTAATAAAGACAAAATATGAAAACTGTGATAGTATTTTTCACTAAACATTAACAGTGTTTTTCATGGGCTTATGAATTAATTTCCTTTGCAATTTCAGTTTTCCAATCCTTATGCATTGGATATCTTGATAATTAGGATAAAAGTTCTATGATACAATAACAAAACACTTTAAAATAAATGAAAATTGTCTTAAATTACTAATTTATATTATAACCACGTGGGAACTATAACTGTTTATCTTTTAAAAATTCCTGGGACTGGAGATGTTTCTGAAAACTGTTAGAGTCCGATTCAACGTATTTCAGTGACATTGTGGTATAGGATATAGAAAACTTCAAGGGGGCTCCAAAAAGTTATTGGAAAAATGAAAAGAAGATATCATGGAATTTTTCTACAAACTTTTGGAAGTCTCCTAGTATTTGCTGGAAAACTCAAGGTTGTTTCCCATTTGTGATATCAAAAGTTTATTTTCGACAGCTGATGCCTGCTGCTCCTAGGCATGAGTTGAGTCTTTCCCAGGAGGTTCCTTGTGCCCTGAGGATCCTGGAAGGTCCGCCTCAAGAGTCAGCCAGACTTGATCAAACATGTGGAGGTCCTGGAAGGTCCACCTCAAAAGTCAGCCAGAAAAAAAAAAAAAAAAAAAAATCGGCCAGACATAATCAAACATGTGGAATGTCACCAGCTACGTTGGCGTAGACGCAAACTGGGACTAGGAATTGCACCATTCAGCTGCCTAAGCAGATCAGACTCAAGCACCTCTACCTCCCATAGGTGATACTGTAAAGGTGACATAAAAGGAGACCTTATGTTTCTAAATAGTGAATTGTTGCTATCATTTTTTGCTGTCGAGTCAATTCCAACTCATAATGACCCTGCAGGACAGAATACAGCTGGGTTTCCAAGGTTGTCAATCTTTAAGGAAGCAGATCATCGGGTCTTTTCTCACAAGGAGTGGCTGGTGAGTTCAAACCACCAACTATTTTGGTTTTGCAGCCGAATGTTTAAGCATTGCACCACCAGAAACCCTTTATATATGTTTTACATTACCATTTCCCATCTCTGCCTTTAGTATCAGGAAATGTAAGGAGATTGATTTCAAAAACTAAGTTTGCCATCAAATATTATCTCACAGAGTCTCAGCCTAATTGTAAGGAAAAGAAAGAGACAAAGGAGAGAGTCTTGGCTTAAACAGCGGGCAGGTTTATTCAGAGTAAACCTGGGAGGGGGTACTCTTAGGTCAGCAAAGGAAACCAAGAGCCCATCTATTCTCTTCCAGACTTGGGTATTTAAAGGCCATGTGGTCTGGGTATAGTTCTGGTGAGTTTACAATGAGTGGGGGGTATGTAGATTTGGGTAGGGGTATGGAGGGGTTCCTGAAACCTGGATTTTGGGGGAGTGGGGGAAATTCTCCAGGTGTAACAAAGACCCAAGCTTCCAGGGAGATCAGAAGTTCAAGCAGGACCCTATTCAGTGTCAATTGGGGGTAGTTGCAATGCCATTCTGTTGATCAAGTCCTTCACTAATGAATTAGATAGATATTTAGGGACTATCTGGGAACCCCAGAAAGACCCCCAATGAGATGGATTGGCCAAGTGGCAACAGTAGTGAGTCTGGCCCAGGATCGGGCAGTGGTTTGTTCTGCTGTGCATAAGGTTGCTGTGGGTCGGTACCGACTCAATGGCACCTAACACCACCACACCACAGAAATGTGGTGCCGCCAGGAGAAACACCTAACCACAACTGTGAGACTTCCCTGGAAATTCACTGCTGCTGCCACCACCACTAAAATCCTATGATGTGCAGGACTGGACATTGGAAACTCCCACAGTGGCCCAAAAGAACAAAACACCTCTGTGCTTGCCAACATCAGCAACATGTGGGAATTTGTGCTTGATGGAACCTGGGTACAGGCTACAAGGAAATCTGGAAAATGTCATTGTTAGCTTTCTAACCTAGCTAAAATAGAACCAAAGTGGGTGTCAAATGAGTCAATTTACAGACATTTAAAATTGTTTTCACTTTTACAAACTCTTGCCTGTCACACCTTCTAAAATGATGCATGCCTAGTCTTGAAGGATATCTCCTTTTAGTTGTGGACACGTCTGGACAATTTTACTCCTTCCTTCCAGTAGTGCACATTTCTCCAATGACCAGAATGCTCCTGTGTGTTTATGTCACTACTGGACAGAGCTTGACACTGCCTGATTGTTTTCTGTTCTTTTTTTGATTCTGTAGGCTATCTTCTACAATGAAGTTACATTTTATTTTCCTCTCAGTTGTATCTCCTAAGACTATAATATTCTCCTAAACTAAGTTCATATGTCTTGCAAGACAGTTGAAGATGATTTTTTTGTGCATATCTAACTTCTAGGAATGACTGGATTGTCCAACATATATATATACTAATTATTCACTCTCAGAGGGAAATGGTTCCAAGTTCTAGAATGCCTTTGGCTAACTTCTGATGTCTGTGTGTTTGTGTATTTGGATTTTCTCTAATAAATTTGAATGACCTCTTCATATATTTTAGATATTAACCATGTTGAATATGACATTTTGAAGATAATCTTTTCCTCTGCTATGATTTTTACTCCTTTTGTGGTTTCCTCCATTATCCCATGAACTCTTAGAAAACCCCTCAACAATTATACATTAAGTTTTTGGGTTTTTTTTAAAGTTTTTATTGTAGAATCATGGTGTGGCGCTGTGGGTTAATGTGCCAGACTGCAAAGCCATTTGAACTGCAAGGTCGGCAGTTCAAGGACACCAGCTGCTCCTTGGGAATCCTATATAGGGTCACTATGAGTCGCAACCGACTCGACGGCACTTGACAACATCATTGTGAGTTATGTGGGTTTACATGGGAGAACATCAGCTTCATATTCATCCTATCGTATTTGTTTCATTGCAGTGATTACAAACCCCTCCATGCATCATCAGATAACCAAAGGGTACATCCCACAGGCCCGCCCCCCTGGTTGTCAGTACACAGCCCCTCTCCCTCCCTGAGTCCAGTTTCCCCAGTCATTCCATCTGTCCACATCATCATTTCTGTCTCCATTCCTAGCTTCATTGCCTCTCTGGGTAGGTTCACGCTCTCTACTCTTCTCACTTGATGGTCCCAGGGACCTCCGCTCCTGGACTGCAAAATCAGTCACTCTCCTCCTTTTGTCAAAAAACATCTACCTCTACATTTCTGACCCTCACAGTCAGTCCTGATGGCAATTATTCACTATTATACCACAAGAGTCTTATCCCCATTTCTTTTCACCAGCCCGGTTCCAACAGAGTGGAGATCATTCGCTGGAGTTCCACCTACCCATGCCCTGTCTGGAACTAAGCTCCCTCTTGAAAGCTTGTAAGCCAGTCGCTTCTTGCCTTTAAAACCCCATTTTGGGTAGCCAATGTCTAAGTAGCCCATCCCTGTCAACCCTATATACATTGAGTTTTAACCATGGCTTGCATGCTATAAAAATTGGAGCGTTTATATGGAGAATGTTTTCTTCTAAAATCGAATGAATCCTACAAGCATGTATTGAGCTGCTCCTAGGTGCTTAGCCTCTGGAGATCAGGAACAGAACTCCTCCACCCCTTCCAGAACTGGGTATCCACACCAGTGGCCGTGGCTAGGCAAGCACCCCCCAGAGCGCTGAAGGGTCTGCGTCCTGCACAACCTTGGCTCTGGGCTCCGCCGATTGTGTGTGCTACTCAGGGCCACCGCTAGGTGGCGCGCTCCGACCTCCGGAACCTATGGTCAGGGAGGCACGGACTTCGAGGCCGCGCCACGGAGAGGCGGCAGGTCTAGCCGGCCGGGCGGCGTGGGGTCGGGAGGCCTCGGCGGAGTCGCCGGCCCTAGTTCGGGCGGGCCGCGGAGCAGCGGCGGGAGGGGGCGCTGCGGGGCCGAGCGGGCGCCGAGCGGAGGAAGTGCTGTCTTCGCCGCCGTTGTCGCCGCCGAGTCTACCGCGCCACCCAGGCCGCGATGTCCTCTCGGCCGGGGCGCGACGACGCGGGGGCCGGGGGCGCACGGCGGCCACGGGAGCTTCCGGAGCAGGAGCTGCAGCGGCGCCGGGAGCAGAAACGGCGGAGGCACGACGCGCAGCAGCTGCAGCAGCTCAAGCACCTGGAGTCCTTGTGAGTCCTCGCCCGACCTTCTGGAAGGAATCGGGGCCTGGAGTCGGTTTCCCGCGTGGGGTCTGGGGGCGCCGTGTTGGTGCGTTAGGTGGGAGTCCTCGGGGACACCCACCGGTGGGCAAGTGGGCCAGGCCGCTCACCCCTTCCGGTGCTGCCGCAGCCCCGCTCTGACCCCAGCTCTAACCCTTAATTGTCCCGCTGCCTGGCTGCGTGACTTCAAGGCTCTGGTCTTCTGGTGGAGTGAAAAGTTCCCTTCACTCCGTGACCTCGGAGCCCGGCCTTGGCCTCGGAGGAGGAAAGAGAGGCTCCAGCCCGATCACACGTGGGTCGGTGGGCTTGGCTCCTCCGAGTTGTTTTATTCTTTGTTCTGCCATTTTTGTGTTAAGTTTTGGCATTGTACTATTTTTGTGTGTTTAGTTTTGGCATTGTACTATTTTTGTGCGTGTTTAGTTTTTGGCATTGTACTATTGGTGGTGGTTATATGCCTTACTAACCCTTACAGGGTTTTCCAGGCTGTAAATCTTTATGAGAGCAGAAAGCCTCGTCTTTCTCCCGCGGAACAGCTGATAGTTTTGAACTGCTGACCTCGCGGTTCGCAGCCCGATTCGTAATCACTATGCTACTTACTATTGGACACTCGATTAAGTGTTTGTGAACTGGATCAATTAGAAGTTCAGTTGAGCCCTTGGTTTATTTCAGTTTTCAGTTTAAAAAGTCCACTATGCAATGGAGAGTGAAGGAAACCTCCATTCGTTTCATCCTCTGCTGTTAACACTGGGAGAGAAAACTAAATCCTGTGATGTTAGTGTAGTGAGGAAGACGAGAAAAAGACTTGCTAGTCCTGAAGATTTTCTCAGGATCAGAGAGTGGAAGCAACAGAGAGGCAAATTCCAGCTCGACAGAAAGAATTTAAAACCAGAGACATATATATATTCTTCGTTGGTCAGTGTAGCCTGAGTTAGCTGATGGTGCTGTAGGATAAGCACTGGACTGTTAACAGCAAGGTCAGCGTTCAAAACCACCAGCCACTCTGCTAGAGAAAAATGAGGCTGTCATGCACCCATAAAGATTAACAGTTGCAGAAACCCTGTATAAGGTCACGGAGTCAGAATCAACTCCTTGGTCCTGGGTTTGCTTTGGTTTGGGATAATTCCCCCAAAGAGTCCTGATGGAGCAGTGGTTATGTACTGCTAGCCAACAGGTAGGCACTTCAAACCCACTAGCCTCTCCAAGAGAGAAAGATGCTGAAGTCAGCTTCAGAAAGATTACAGCTTTAGGACCTGTGGGACATTCTACTGTCTTACAAGTCAGTATGAGTCAGAATAGACTAGACAACCTCAGGTGTGGTTTTTTTGTGTGCTCTCCCAGCACCAGATAACTTCTGGGAGAAGGAGATGTAGTAAAGAAGGTTCATACACCAGATAGGAGGTTGGACTAATGACCAAATTCTTTTCCAAATTCTCTGATTCTAGGATTAGCTATATAGTATTATGTTCACTGGGTTATTCCATAGATCATTCATTCCAGGTAATTGTAGTTATTTGAACTTCTGGCATGTTCTGTAGAATAAGTACTGGACTGCTAACCACATGGTGGACAGTTCAAACCCACCAGCCATGCCTCAGAACCCCTATATGGGGGTTTTTAATCAGTGAGAACCTCCTCGAAGGCACTTAAAAAATAGTTACTTATTCTATAGTCTGCACTTAAAAAATAGTTACTTATTCTAGGTTGGTCATGTAAGGACCAGGTCCTCAAAGGGTTAAAATCCTTCATAATTATGATGCAAAGTGCATTCCTTTCCTGGAGCCTGATCTGTACTTTTCAGAGAGGTCCATGAGTTGGATGACTTCTTACCTCTGCAAGCAGTAGATGCAGGGAGTATGTATGGTACCTTGCTAATGGGTCAGTCCTGACCACTTCAAGGTACTCTTACTCTGTGGCCTGCTTCTGTGCAAATGAGATGTTCAAACATCCTCTCCTCATGTAGGCTTGGTCAGGGCCCTGCCTGTCCCCCAGTATCTTTGACTATAGGAGGTCAGACAGTGATTAAGACCACACAATTTATTTTGTGCTCACAGAGCGCTTTCACAGACAAGAGAGTTTAGAACTTCCTTTTGCAGAGAGGAAATGGAGGTTTAGCAGTTAAGGAATGTGCTCAATGGTACACTGACCTAGAAACCAGCAACCCTGGAGCCAAACCAGTGTCTTAGTCCCAGACAGTGGGGTTTTCCCATTTCAGAAATTTAAAACTGGATGGTTTGTTGACATGTTTGGTCTGGCTAGTTCATAGTCTTGTTTTTATAGCTGAATTGTATTTATACCACAGTCTTGCTTTCATGTACTTTTAAAAAGCAAAAGGCTGATTTCAATAAATAGTGATGGGATGGCCCATGAAACAGGGCTCTGTCGACAGCAAACTTTAATTTTTCTTCTGGGATTTAACTCCTTGTTTCTAAATTTGATGCTTATATTGTTTGTTTGGTTCCATTTTAGACATCTTCTATTAACTTCGGGTCATAGTAGTTAAGGGTTTAGTTCTCCTTCCCTACTCATTTTCTATTTTTCCAATATGATGGTAGTGTACCCTTGAATTGGTTCCAACTCATAGTGACCCTGCATAGGGTTTCTGAGGCTATAAATCTTTTTGGGAGCAGAAAGCCACATGTGTCTCTCACAGTGCAGCTGGTGGATTCAAACTGCTGGCTTTCTGGTTGTTGTTGGTAGTGTGCCGTGGTGTCCGTTCCAACTCATAGCAACCCTGCATAAAATTTCCAAAGCTGTAAATCTTTACGGGAACAGAAAGTCTCATCTTTCTCCTTCAGAACATCTGGTAGTTCGAACTACTGACCTTGAGGTTAGCAGCTCAACTTGTAACCAGAGCTCCTTTGTGATTAGTAGCCCAATTCATATGTAACCCATTATGCTATCAGGGCTCCTTATTTTTTTTCAATATAGCTATATTATAATAGTTTTTGTGAAGTCAGTAGTACTAACATTATTATTATGACTGTGTAATATTGCTCTTTTGAGCCAAATAGTATTGTATGAATTTTTTTTTTTCTTGCTTTCTAGAACAACCCTTGTTTTTCTAGTAGTAAGTAAGAGTTTCGTTTTTTCCATTTGCTTAATTTTCTTTCTGTAGGCTCCAAAAACTGAGAGAACTCATCTGACACTTTACTACATCCTGAGGAGCTCTGGTAACATAGTGGTTACGAATCAGGCTGCGAACCCCAAGGTCAGCAGTTCGAAACTACCAGCTGTTCCGCAGGAGAAAGATGAGGCTTTCTGTTCCCGTAAAGATTTACAGCCTCGGAAACACCGTACAGGGTCACTATGAGTCGGAACCAACTCCAGGGCACATAACCACCACCAGATGATCCATCATTTCATTTTTTTTTACCTAGAATCTTCTGTTCACCTGCATTTGGCACTGGTAGCTTTCTAGGCATAATGGCCAACAAACTTTCTGAAACTACTGGTTTAGTCTCCTATCCTGATCCCATGTTCTGTACTCAAGGTCTTTTTCTTTTTTTCTTTGTTTACCATGCAGTGAGTCCAGTTCATACTGACCTGTAGGACAGAGTAGCGCTACCCTGTAGCATTTCCCAGACTGTCATCTTTACAGAAGCAGACTATCGCATCTCTGTCCCATAGAGCAGCACGTGAGTGTGTGATCTTTCAGGTAGCAGCGGAGTGGTTAACCACAGTGCTACCACGGCCTTGTCCTTTTTGTCCTTGTTGTCATTAGCAACCCTGTGTACGAAACACAGTTCCATCCTCACAACCACTCCTGTGTTTGAATGCATTGTTGCAACCACTATATCAATCCATCTATTGAAGGTCTTCCTCTTTTTCATCGACCCTCTACTTTTCTGAGCACGATGTCCTTCTCCAAGGACTAGTCCCTCCTGATGATGTCTGACATTTGTGAAATGAAGTCTCACTGTCTTCACTTCAAAGGAGCATTCTGGTTGTACTTTTTGCAGTGAAGATTTGTTTATTCTTAAGGCAGTCTGTTTTATATTTAATATTCTTTGCTGACATCATAATTCAAAGGTATCAGTTCTTCAGTCTTCCTTATCCGTTGTCCAGCTTTTGCATGCATATAAGGTGACTGAAAATAGTGTGTCTTGGATCAGGTGCGCTTTAGTCTTCAAAATGACATATAACACTTTCAAGAGATCTTTTTGCCACAGACTGGCCCAATGCAATACGAGAGGTTCTCAAAAAGTTCATAGGAAATTCATTCTTTTAATTCCAGTTTGTGCCTTTATTTGGCCCCTTCACACACCATTCAGTTTCCGACTGCTCTTTCCATGGGCATTGATTGTGGATCCAAGTAAAATGAAATCCTTGACAACATCAATCTTTTCTCCGTTTATTGTAATGTTGCTTATTGGTCCAGTGTGAGTATACTTGTTTTATTTACACTGAAGTGCAATCCATACTGAAAGCTATCCTTAATTTTCATCAATAAGTGCTTCAAGTCCTCTTCACTTTCAGCAAGCAAAGTTGTGTCATCTGCATATTGCTGACTGTTAATGAGTCTAGATACCATATTCTTTATATAGTCCAGCTTCAGGATACAGAATGAATAAGTAAGATGGAAGGATACAACCGTGACTCATACCTTTCCTGACTTAAAATCACATAGTATCCTTTTGTTCTATTCGAACAACTGCCTCTTGTTCTATGTACAAGTTCCACATGAGTATAATTAAATATACTGGAATTCTCATTCTTCCCAATGTTTTCCATAGTTTATTATGATCCACACAGTTAGTGAATGCCTTTGTATAGTCGATGAAACACAGGTAAACATCTTTCTGGTATTCTCTGCTTTTAGTCAAGACTCATTTGATATTGTCAGTGATATCCCTCATTCCATGACCTCTTCTAGATACAGCTTGAATTTTTGTCAATTCCCTGTCTATGTACTGTTAGAACCACTTCAAAGAAAGATGATCAGGAAAAACCCAAAACAAAATATCAGCATGACTGGCAGGTACAAGAATAAATAAGCAAGCTGTTTGCCAGGAAGCCATCAAGGCAAGCAATCAAGTTCTTTCAGGACAAACTCCCCTCTAAGACTGAAACTCAAAGGGAATAACACACAAACAGGCATGTAAGCTTGCTGGCAACATTGGTCTACTGGTGAGTGGAAGAGGGGGAAAGGCAGCAATGAAGAAATGGGCTGAGTTTAACCACAGTCCATTGACTCTTGTTGACCTGGAGATGAGAGAGAGAAGAGGAAGGGCTGATTGGTCCAAAGTGTGGTGAGACCTGGGGACACCTGAGCCCATGGACAACTACATAGCCACAGAGGGCTAGAGCTGAGAGTGAAGCATTCAGGGATGGAGGCAGAGATGGCATGGAGAAGGGGTGCGGCTGAGGACTCTAGATTCAAGGAAAGAGAGGGAACAAGAGTTGGTGGCCATGAGGCAGAGTTACAGAAAGTGCCCTTTGGAGATGTAAATTATTATGTATGCCTGAGTAGTTTTTTGTTTGTTTTTTTTTAAAGCTAAAGGAGCTCTGGTAGCGTAGTGGTTACGAATCGGGCTGCAAACCTTAAGGTCAGCGGTTCGATACTACCAGCCACTCCGCGGGAGAAAGATGAGGCTTTCTACTCCTGTAAAGATTTACACCCTCAGAAACCCTGTACAGGGTCGCTATGGGTCGGACCCGACTCGATGGCACTTAACAACAACAACAACAACAAAGTGGATAGAGAAAAATACTGTCAACTGATGATACATGGAGGGGATTATAATCATTGTACTGAAACAAGGTGTATGATTTGTTGACTGTAAAACTGATGATCTGCCCTGTAAACTTTCACTCAATGCACAATAAAAACCTTAAAAAAAAAAAAAGTTCACTGGAAAATAGAATTAAAGATAATGGAGTTTTTCCATGAGCTTTTTAAAGACTCCTTGTATGCACCTTGTTCCCAGCCGTCTGAGTGCAGTAGTGAGGAAGAAAGCTGAACAAACTAGTGTTCAGATTAAGACTCCACCCTGTTTTCAACCGGCATTTATCCTCTTTTCAATCCTTAACTGTGCCAACATCCCTGCACATCTGGGAAGTAGCCCTACCCAGGGGACTAGTACTGCAGTCTCCTTCAAGGATAGGGGAGGCAGGGTTCTAACCTTGGAGAAGGAAGAAATCCCAGGTTTTATGTCAGCCACTCACTATCAATAGTCCCAGCCCTCATCTGCTAAAAGTTGTAACATCCTCTACCTAAAGACGTTAGTTACTACTTCCTTTTACTTTCCTCGGATATCGGATATCCTTATTTGTTGAAATTATACTCTGCTTATTTTCTCCCAAGATTTAAAATTTTATTTTAAAAGACTTTGTAACTTTCAATTCCTTTAATGTCGTTTTAAAGGAAGCAAGAGATCCCTGGGTGGTGGCAAGTGGTTTGCCCTCCGCTAATAAACTAAAGATGGTGGTTAGAACCCGCCCAGTGGCACCTCCGAAGAAAGACAGGCAGTCTCCTTCCATAAAGATTACACCCGCCCAAAACAACCACACAGAGCAGTTCTACCATAGAGTCAGGGATAAAAACTGAACTGGAATCAAATCAGTGGCAACGGGTTTGGGGTTTTTTAGAAGGGAGTCTGGGGAGGAAAGAAAGGAGCAAAGTCTGTCATATTAAATGGGGATCCTCACATTCGTTTCACAAATGGAATGAAAATCCTTTGACACTGGACATTACCCTCTTCAGGTCCTCTCTGCCTCCACTGGCCTTCTCTCTGACCATGTAGACCAGGTGCCTAAAGGCCTCCAGTAAGAGCACACTCTCCCTTTTTCCCTTTTCCCTTTAAGTGTTCCTGAGATGCTAGGAAAAACTGAAATATTGCGTGTCTATATGTCCCTTTCAGCTCTGCCTTCCGGTCACATAGGAACCAGCTGTAAGAGCCATTTTGTGGAATGGAATATATTTACATGAAGGCCCCTTCTAAACGAAACCCCATCCCAGCGCTCACAAAGAATCATGTGAAATACTTGGCAAAATTAAGGTTTCTTACCCCATACACACATGGAAAGAAAATATGTTTCCCCTCTTAGTGATGGCGGTGGTGGTACTGGGATTGCTGATGGTGGTGGTGGTAGTGGTTATGTGCAGTGAAGTCGGTTCCAACTCATAGTGACTATAAATCTGAGGCTCTAAATCTTTAGGGAGCAGAAAGCCTCATCTTTCTCCCACGGAACAGCTGGTAGTTTCAAACTGCTGACCATGAAGTTTGCAGCCTGATTCGTAACCACTACGCTACCAGAGTGCCTTCAAAAGCCCTCTACAGGGTCACTATGAGTCTGAACCAACTTCACAGCCCTTAACAAGTTATATTTACTTTATGCACTGCTGAAAGCAAATTATTATAGTCTGATTTAACAGCAAGGCTTCACACACAGACGGTACAAAAAATGGGCCACCACCATCTTTTTTTTTTTTTTTAATTCTAAGAATTAACTAGAAAGATAAAGACAGGCTTCTCAACTGTCATAACACAAAAGCCAGACAGCACAATAGACGCATCCCATTGCCAAATCTGTTGTTATCTCACTGTTAAGTATTACTTTCAACTTTGAGGATAACCCTTTTAAATATACTATATAAACTAATGAATTGTTTGACCCAAGGGGTTTTGCAGGTGGGGGAGGAGGCAGGAACATCAGTCACCTTCCTTTAAACTCAGGAAGAAAGTTGTACAATGGACTGGTTAGTATTCCTATTGCTAGTAACAATGGATTTTGTAATGTACAGTCCCTTCGCACCCTTTTTCATTCTTGGCAAGAACAGATCAATATTTTTCAGGAATTTGGATCTTAATTTGGTTGGCCATATGTTGTTTGTACAACTGTTGTGGCTCAAAGGATGGATTACTGGGTATTTACATAAATTGTATCACCTCCCCTCCAAAGCCCCATATAGGTCCGTAGTTAGCCTACAGGTCGTCTTTTACCTTACATTTCCTTTGTAGTCACATGCTTTCTCTCCTTGAAAAAATTATTGTGCTAATACAATAACTTGAGGTTCTGGTGTGGCGCTCACTGTGCGTTAATGCGCTGGACTGCAAGGTCAGTTTGAGCCACAAGGTCAGCCCTGCAAGCTCCCCAGCCACTCCTCAGAAACCCTATATAGGGTGGTTATGAGTCGAAACTGACTTAATGGCACTTAACAACTACAGCAGCAACAACAATATGAGTTAGTATTTTTATGAATTTATGTTCTAAATCTTTGCAATATATGATATAGCATTACCTTATTTTTATGTGATTCCTGAACGCTGAGCATGTTGTCTTAGTTGTTTTAAATGTAATGTGATAGTGGTGGTGGTTGTGTGCCACCGAGTTGATTCTGACTCTCAGCCACCCTGTATAGAATTTCCAAGACTGTAAATCTTCATGGGAGCAGAAAGCCTTTTAGCAGCCCCTCTCATAATCTACTACACTACCAAGGCTCCTTAAATATAATGTAGTTGGTTTTATTTTTTAAACTTTTTATTGTGAATTGAGTGAAGGCTTACAGAGCAGATCATTGGTTTTACATTTAATAAATCATATACTTTATTTCATTTCAATGACTACAAGCCCCTTACTACCACATCACTTACCCAGTTTCCTCCTTGATGTAACATAATGTATTGCAAGTTTTCATGGTGTCTCAACAACTGCCTTTCACTCGTTAAAATGTATTATGTACCTATTTAAATGGTTGATGGATTTTCTTTCTTTCCTTTTCTAGTTATGAAAAACCTCCTCCTGGACTTATCAAGGTTGGTATGATTTCTGTACTATTGGTGGTTCTCTTATACATACAAGGGAACTTCAAAAGATTCTTGGCAGAATTCCGTTATCTTTTTGTTTTCTGCTGCCCTGTTTTCGTTGTCTGACTCACCAGCTCACTTGGTACCCCCTGTGCCGTCTTAGTCCCTCCTGGTGTCTTGAGTTGCCATCAGCTCAGAAAGCAGGAGAGTCTGAGGAGAGGAGCACTGATCCTGATGAGGAAGCCCTGGTCCTGGCACAATGTCCTTGTCTTTCTGCACGAGTGAGACTTACAGTAGCAGTTAAAGACCAAAAGCAACTGTTCGGTAACTTTAGGGAAAGAGAAGTCTTAAAACACACTCTCCCATTCAAAATTTAATATTCATGAACATTACATTTAAAGCAGAATAGCCCCTTAGTTGTAAATACAGCTAAAATCTACAAGTGTTCTTGTATTTACAAGTTATAGCAGGTGTGTGACTATAAACAATAGCAGGGACTTTCAAGGTATAAAAAGCTATTTGTGTATAGCGTACTGTTTTTATTATTTCCAGAAAAGTAGCTTCTTTACTCTAGTTTCTTAAACTTTGCTTCATTCCACAAAAATTCTAGGTAGTAAAAGCCATTTTGTGATCCTGGAATCTGATTAGCACCAAAACTTGAATCACACAGATCATTCCAACATGAAGGACACTAGCTATTTTTTCTAAGAACAGCTGCATCTCTCTTAATATCGTCCTTCTGGTACATTTCTTGCCTTTTCTTTCTTTTTCTGTCAGCTGTACCTTATCTCTGAGAGGAGAGTTGACGTTGGGACCTGCAGCCTGTGAGGAGTCAGGCAGTAGTCAGGCATGAGAGAATTCAGTGCTGGGGTTTTTTTTTGACTTACTGTTTTTTGTTTACCTGTTTCTCTTGTTTAGGAAGATGAAACTAAGCCAGAAGACTGTATACCAGACGTACCAGGCAATGAACATGCCAGAGAATTTCTGGCTCATGCGCCAACAAAAGGACTGTGGATGCCACTGGGGAAGGAAGTCAAAGTGATGCAATGTGAGTGTGGAAGAGTCTCGAGTAACACGCCCAGTGCTTGTGCAGTTGTGTAACACAGTGTATGCCATGCAAACACACTTACCGGAGTGGATTTCTTCTCAAACAGTCCTGATAAAGATCCCCATTTTGTAGATAAGAAAGCAGACTTACAGATGTTGGTAAGTTGTCCAAGGTAAAAGGTAGGACAAAAGCTTTAAGTCCAGGATTTCTACCTCCAAGTCCACTGATCTTTGGAGTATACTCGTCAAGAGCATTCCTGTAACACCAAGGCTATTCCATGGTAGAAATGCCTTGGAGAAGACAAGAGAGGCATGGTAGAATGGGTCGCTGAGGGTTGCACCTCAGTGGACCATTCCAGGTTATCATTATTGATACTTTGAGGAGGCTGGTGGCACAGTGAGTAAGTACTCATCTGTACCACACCAGAAGTCCTATAGGGTCAGATTTGACTGGTATATAGATATCTTGAAACTTACCTATGTAACCTAAGTGAGAGGGGCTTCAGGCCACAGGATGAGTCTGGAGCCCCCACCCCAGCAGAGCTGTAACACTGTGTCAACCCGCACCATTTGCCATGGCATTTCAAGACAGGTGCTGCCTGTTTTACATTCATTTGTACAATTATTCATACACATGATTAAATAGCAGTTCCCAGCTCCTTTTTTTTCTGCTCAGCTCACAGAAGCTCTTTTAAGATGATCATCTTGATGTTTATCTCCATGCATTTCAGCTCCTTGATTGTTCAGATTTAGTCATCATCTCTTTTGACATTTTGCTATAGCCCAACCCCATTGCAATCCGGTTAATTTTAGCTCCTAACGACCTTGCTTGGAAGATAAGAATTCAGCTCTTTTCTTTGTCCCCACCTCGTAAGTACTCTTCTGGTCTCCCATTTTCACAATTACAGTTCTATCGCACTTTAGTTTTTAAATTCTTTAGTGAATATATATATATATTTATTATTATGGTTATATTCAGAATTTAGTCATATACTAAAATGATTACATTTCCTTTCGTGCACCTTGCAGGTTTTCCTGCAATTAACCATTGACTTTTTGCTGTTACTGCTTCATTTTCTGTGTACTGATCACTAGTTAAAACCTTCAGGTGCCTGAGGTCCTCTGTCAGTACCACCTTTCTGAAGATGGTTGCTGCCTGTTTATTATCCAGGGGTTCCCCCTTCACCATGATTCTCTGGTTACCTATTGGCCTCTTCTGTAATGGATTTCCAATTTCTTGTATCTCATGTCTTCATTATTATGTTTATTATCTTGTTAACTTCCCCTGGTAGCTTCCTGAGAAATGGGTTTATGAGAGAGATGTTTGAGATTTTTTCTGGAACCAGCTCTGTTTATAGATTTTCCATTTGCCAGGGTATAAAATTCTAGTTTAAAAACCATCTTCCCTCAAAATTTTGAATGCATTGCTCCATTGCCTTCTAGTTTCTAGAGTTGCTGTTGGCAGTCCAATGCAATTCAGAATTCTGATCCTCTGGTGTGCCCGCTTAGGTTTTTTGTTTTTTGTTTTTTGCCTTTTGTCTTGTTTTCCATTCTGGAAGCTTATAAGGTGATCTTCTTCACAGTGTTCTGAAATTTCATAAATTGTTTCTTGTCCTTTGTGTTTACAATCCTACTAGCTAAGACTATTGACATCCTTGAATGATTTTCTAATTTCTTTTCTTTTTATCGCCTATTAATATTTTTGTTATCCTTTCTAGAGTATTTCATCAACGTTATATTCCAGTCCTTTTGTTAAATTTTTGTATTTCTGCTATTGTATTTTTTTAATCAACAATTTCTTTTTTGTTGTTGTGTTATGAATGTTTTTGGTTTCTTTGTTTATTTGTTTTAAGTATTCTGTTCTTGTTCTATTGTTACAGCATCTTTATCTAAGGTTGATTATTTATTTTTCTTCTCCCTAACGAATTGGGCTGCGAACCGCAAGGTCAGCAGTTCGAAACTAGCAGCTGTTTCGCGGGAGAAAGATGAGGCTCTCTGCTTCCGTAAAGATTTACAGTCAGAAACCCTGTACAGGGTCGCTATGGGTCAGAACCGACTCCACGGCACATAACAACAATAACCATTACAGGGTTGCTATGAGTCGGAACCGACTCCACAGCACATAACAACAACAACAACCATTACAGGGTCGCTATGGGTCGGAACCGACTCCACAGCATATAACAACAACAACAACCATTACAGGGTCGCTATGAGTCGGAACTGACTCCACAGCACATACCAACAATAACCATTACAGGGTGGCTATGGGTTGGAACCGACTCCACAGCACATAACAACAACAATAACCATTACAGGGTGGCTATGGGTCGGAACCGACTCCACAGCACATAACAATAAGGTTCTAATTCCTCCAAGTTTCTGTTGCTATTTTCAATTGTTTATTTGTCTTTTATGTCAGATGCTTTCTGATGTCTGGTAATCTGTGATTGCCTCCTATGTTATTAATCTATGGCTGCAGCTGAATTGAAACCAGTCATGAGGATGGAGAAGAACCAAGCAGTGTTCCCATTTGAATAAACGTGGGCTTGCCATGAGGAAGGCAACAAATGGCTATGTAACAAATTACCCAAAAACTTAGTAGCTGAAAACAGTAATAAACAGGGTCCCGCAGTGTCTGTGGGTCAGGTATTTGGGAACAGCCTACCTGGCTGTCTGGCATTAGGCCTCAAGTTGCATTCATGACGTGAGCTGGGCCTGCAGTCATCTAAAGGCAGGAATGGAACTCAAGGATCCATTCCCAACTGGTTCATTCCCACACATAGACCACTCTGTAGGACTTCTTGAGTGTCCTCAGAACAATCGTTACAGCCAAGTGAGTGATACAAGAGAGCAGGGGGCAAGCAACCATGCTGTGACCTAACCTCCTGTCCACAGTCTGCTACGGCTTACACAGCTCAGCTCTGCCTGTCTATCGAAGGTGTGGGGCTCATTGAGGTCCTCTTGCAGGCTAGCTACCACACTTAAGAGGGGGAGATTTTGTGCTTCCTTCGCCATCGTGTGACTGCTGCTGCGTTCCATCTTCACTGTGTCTTCTCCTAAGACTTTCCGGATCCAGAGATTCCTGGCCAAGAAACAAAAGCAGAATCGTCCCATTCCCCAATGGATTCGAATGAAAACTGGTAATAAAATCAGGTACAACTCCAAGAGAAGACACTGGAGAAGAACCAAGCTGGGTCTCTAAGGAGTGGTCCATGTTCTCTAAGGAATGGCCCATGTTCTCTAAGGAGTGGCCCATGTTCTTTAAGGAGTGGCCCATGTTCTCTAAGCAGTGGCCCATGTTCTCTAAGGAGTGGCCCATGTTCACTAAGGAGTCGCACATGCAATGACACAACACATAATATACCCAGGTCCTAGCACTCTACCGTAGCAAGTTCAGTTTTGCCAAGATCTGATCAGTTGGATATGTTTTGCAAAACTTCTGGTTTCTTCTTTTATTTTTATGCTTCCGCATTTAAAGAGATTGGCTAATAAATATGTGAGACCTTTGGTTTGAGAAAAAAAGAGTGGGAGATTTTTTAAGAAGTTCTAACTTTGGGTGTGACTCTGGTATTTGATGATCTGACTGGACCTTAGTTCGAAACCTCCGAGGTCAGTCTCATGGACTTGGAGAAGAACAAACAAATCCGTCTTGGAAGAAATACGGCCAGGTGTTCCTTAGAAGCAAGAATGTCAAGACTTTGGCTCATACTTTGGACGTGTTATCAGAAGGGACTAGTCTCTGGAGAGGGAGGGGCATCATGCTTGGTAAGGAGAAGATCAGTTGAAAATAAGAGGAAGGCCTTCAATGAACTGGACTCCCCAGAGGCTGCAGTAATGATCTCAGACACAGCTATGACCATGGACATGGGGTCACTATGTGTCTGAACTGATTTAATGGCATCACAACAATGCCTGGACTCCTGCTGGTATGGTGCTATAGAGTCAGCACTGGACTGCCACCTCCAAGGGGGACAATTCAAGCTCACCAACTGCTCCTCAGAAACCTATTCAGGGTCACTATGAGCCTGGAACCGACTCAACGGCCCTTAACAACAATAACAATGCCTAAATGCAGGTCGCACTTAGTTCACTATACAGTTTCCTGATTTGCCTCAAATCACAGTGGTTCTGAGAGGATGCAGGCAGGTGAAAGAAGTGAAGTAACAGGGCTCTCAGCCATTCCTGCTTGGCCCACCACTTGTTTCACCATCTCAACAGCCTAAAGGCGAGCTCATACTCACTCAATTCTGGGAAGACGTACAATTCCTTCTATTTCCCTGGGATCTGTATATGCATTTTCCTTATGTCTCCCCTGTTCCTCCACGGGACTGTCTAGCATTTCTAATAATAAACATGTTTAAACATCTGTGCAACAGGTAAAGTTGCATCAAGGTTCTGATGTCATTGGCATTCTAAGAACACCTGTGATTTTGTTAAAGGTGAAAGATTAGTACAATGTTGATTCAACCTGAGAAAGATAGCATATGTTCTAGCGCCTAAATTTATATATGAGGATCAGAACCACTTGATAAAGGAAACAGACTTATACTCTTTAAAAAATATAGTAAGAACACACTTGAAAAAGAAAAGTTTACCCTTTGCAGTGTTTTTTTCATGGTATTGCTTAATAGTACTTGATGAAATATGGTAATTTCTAAAACTCTAAGACTAAAAGATGCTTAAGTGCCATTGAGTTGGTTCTGACTCAAGGTGACCCTCGATAGGGTTTCTGAGGAGTGGACTACTGGATTTGAACCTCCAATCATGTGGTTAGCAATCCAGTGTTTATCCTACAGCCCCACACCAGGACTCCTAGGAAACAATTAGTTCCCATCTTGTTTGTTGGGATCCTGTGTGATTCATCCTTTGAGTCCATTTGCTTTTAGAATCGAAGCTTAATGAAAATTAAGTTTAATATCATCTGATTCTTTATCTTGATTAAGTGAAAGTATGTCCTCTTACAGAAATATTTCCCTTTTTCTTTGTTTTTAGGTTGGCGTTGTAAACGGTATGGTCACCGAACAGGCGACAAGGAATGCCCTTTCTTTATCAAAGGCAACCAAAAGTTAGAACAGTTCAGAGTAGTAAGTAAAACCCCTATTGCTGTCATTTACTTTTATCAGAGGTAGTGAATATTGATGAGTCTGCAGTCATCCAAGAACCAAAAGTTCACAAAAAATACATTCCCAGAAGTCTTGTGGCCAAAGCATCTGCTGTTAATGGCTTGCTTCTCTATTAAATGGCATTTGTGTGGCAGATGAGTTCTTTACCAAAAACTAATCTTTCTTTTAAGTCTAATTTGCTTATGCATTGGAAACAGTAATTCTCTTATCTGAAGTCCATCTTATTCTATCACTTCTTAAATTTACTACACAAAGAATCTATTTCATAACTAAAATTACAATTTTAGTGTCCCAGTCTTTATCTAATGATTTGATGTCTTTCTATCATAAGCTAGAACTGTGTGTATAACTTTATATATATATTCATTGTTGTTGTTAGGTGCCATTCAGTCGGTACCAACTCACAGTGACCCTATGCACAACACAACAAAACACTGCCCGGTCCTGGGCCAACCTCACAATTGTTGCCACCACGCTTGAGCCCATTAATGCTGCCACTTTGCCAATCCATCTCGCTGAGGGAGGTCTTCCTCTTTTTCTCTGACCCTCCACCTTACCAAACATGATATCCCTCTCCAGGGACTGGTCCCTCCTGACAATATGTCCGAAGTATGAGGTTGTTGTTGTTAAGTGTTGTCAAGTCGGTTCCAACTCATAGTCGCCCCGTGTAGGGTTTTTAAGGAGTGACTAGTGAGTTTGAACCGCCAGCCTTGCAGTTCAAACCAACCTCGAGGTCAAGTGCTTATCCTGTGGTACCACACCAGGACTCCTTATGTTCATTAGATGACAGTAAGACAGATTTGTCACTTCCTCACTTTATTTTAGCAGAGTGTTAATTCACTGCTGAATAGATGTTTCTGCCAAATTAAATATGCAGCTATCTGGATGTGTATTCAAGATATCAACATATGCAAACTAGGATCCAAGGCTTTTAAGACATGCTAAATAGTATGTGTTCTATCAAATACGGCTAAGTGAAATGTCAATTTTTGTAGCTACAGTAGAGGATAACTTTATTGATGAATGTTAGGATATTTAAACACATTCATATTTTTTTTAACTCGGCTATCCCTTCTCTTAAGAATTTATTCTAATGATTGGACTCCTGGTCTGGCACTGTAGGATCAGCACTGGACTGCGACCCATAAAGTTGACAGTTCAAACCCACTAGCTGGTCTTCAAAAACCCTATACAGGGTCACTATGAGTTAGAACCGACTTGACGACACTTAACAACAGCAACAATCTAATGATTAACAGAATATCAGTCCATAGAAATTCTTTTGTATGCATAAGGATAACTTTCAGAATTATTTATGTGGCTGAAGAAATAGAAACTACAGAAAACTAGGAAACAAATGTGCAATTATACCAATATAAATTACTGTAACATAGAAAGTATATAGCTCTTAAGAATTAAGTTCTAAAATATATGTAGTGTCTTAGAAAAATGTTTATGAAAATAAATGAGAAAGAAAAGAGAGTTGTCCATATCATGATTGTAATTTTCATCAGCTATACAAACAATAAGATGTTAACAGAAGTTCTCCCTGGGTATTGATAGTTTTGTTTGTAAATTCATTAGTTTTTTTCTGTAATGTCTAAAATCTGTACAATTAACACTTTTTTTAGTGAGAAAATTCACATACTATTCAGTTAAGTCATTTTGAATTATACAAACAATACAAAAATGCATATATGTTTTTAAAGAAAACTAAGCTACAAAACCCAGTCTTGCATTCCTTCTCAAATGGAGTTTGCAGTTAGTTATTTGATGGGAATACTTCCAGGCATGTTTTGAAGTACTTACATATATTTGTTTATACCTACAATGGATCATTCTAATATGTAATTTCGCAACTGAGTTGTTTTACTGATTAATATCTGTTTGTAATCTATAGAACAAAAAGAATTACCTCTACATTAGTATCCTTGAATAGAATTTTTCTTTCACAGTATGACTCTGCCATGGTTTATGTTGTTATTTCTTCATAGAGGATATTTAATTTCCTGTATTTTAATAATAATCAGAAAACCCTTTTTATAGCCTTATTGAGTTTACTATGGTAGTAACCCATAGAATGGAAAAGAACATTTTGAACAGACTACTACATCAAATGGGGAAAACAAGTAACTGGTTACAGTAAAATAAGGATTTCATTTTATTTAACTAGTGTAGTGGTCTATGAGGCCTAACCAAATCTCCACTTTTCTCCCCAAAGGCACATGAAGACCCTATGTATGACATCATACGAGAGAATAAGAGACATGAAAAGGATGTAAGGTGAGGTCATCCTGCTGATAGTGATACAGCTTGCAGTGTGTAGTGTTTCAGGATTGAAAACAGCCATCCAGTGTCAGGGAATGGTGTAGTAAATACGGTACTCTAATTTGAAAGATGTGGAGGACGAGAGTAACCACTGTTTGTGGGGAATGAGCAGTGTGTGGTAGAAGTTGTTCTCCTAGGGTTAGCTTAAAGCAGTGGGCCCAGCCCAGCCCACACATCCACCTGACAGTTGGCACTGGCAACCCCCCTTGCTGTAGCAGTTTCTGATTGTCTTTCAAGTGAATTAATTTATTTTCTCTGACTTCTTTAAGGATCTGAGATTTTATTAAATATTCTTAGGACTAAAGATAGAATGAGAAAACAGAAGGGTTTTTGTATGTTTCCAAATTGTTAGCATTGAGTTGTAATTATTAAAGGAAGTATATAATCTATTATATGTGAGTAGTGAGGGAATGATTTAAGAAATTATGCGTCTGTTAGAAGTTAAATTTTTTAAGGACTGTAGGTTCATGCAGAAAGATTTAGGAAAATAAAAAGGTTACAAAACAGCTTGAACATTGGTTTGTGGTAAAGTAGGTATGCATGTGGGCAAAAATTAGAAAATAGGCAAAAATAAAAATCAGACTGTTTGCAGTGATGACATTTTTTCCCCTCAACACTGCTCTAATTCTTTCTTTTATGTCTAAAAGTTGGAAATCATGGTTCTTTGACCAATTTTATATGTTTAGGATACAGCAGTTAAAACAGTTACTGGAGGACTCCACCTCAGATGAAGATGGCAGCAGCTCCAGTTCCTCAGAATGTAAAGAGAAACACAAGAAAAAGAAGAAGAAAGAAAAGCATAAGAAAAGGAAGAAGGAAAAGAAAAAGAAGAAAAAGCGAAAGCACAAGTCTTCCAAGTCAAATGAGAGCTCAGACTCAGACTGACAAAGACTTACTCAGCATTTTCTCCTCAAAAATGAAACACTGTGCCCAAACAACACGGGAAGAAACAATTGGAGAGGACACAGAAGAAAGAGAAACCAAGAGACATCACGGCTGTGAATTCTCACTGACTCCCAGTCAGGATGCCCCCCCACAGGAGAAGGGAGTTGTCTCTTCCCAGGTGCTAGTTCGGGACAGCAGCTGGTTTCAGTCAGGACCCCTGATTCAGCGTCCTTCTCTCGGCGGGCCACTCCAGTCTGACTCACTGGAAAGGCCTCCTCCAGCTGGCAGGATGAAAGGAATCTCAGAGGAAGCTCTTCTTGACTCTCCCCTCCTTAGGAGACTTCTTAATTTCCACAGATGTCAGGCTTGTGTTTTCTTTAATGTCAAGCGAGGATAATAAAAACATTCTTTTATTTATTAATTTTTTTTTTCATTTTCATTTTGAATAATAATACATTTAAACATGGTCTGAATTTAAAAGGTGCGTAAGATTTAATCATGACCAATTTTTGTCATGAAAGAGTTAATCATGAGACATCTTTCTCCTCTCCCTCAGCTATCCAGCCCCCTTCCCCGGTGGCTACCAATATTAACAGTTTCTGGTGAAATCTTCCAGAAGTATTTTATGTGCCACAAATACAAGTTTTGTCTCCTATTTTATGCAAATGCTCGTGTACTTTCCATGTTTGTCCACACTCTATTGTTGAGTATGGACAGTGTAAAACAGTATCAAGTACATTGGGCCTTGCTGCATATAAAAGTTCTGTTAAAAAAAAACCCTGGCTTTGTTGGCTGACAAGATTTTGAGGGGGTAAAGGCTTACAATTAACAATGCAGAACCTTGTATGACTACGCTCTATTTAATGTGCCTTATACCTCATAGTCCCAAGATTTTCCAAAGTGATTGACTCAGAAAAATTATAAAAATATAAATATTACTGAGTCGGCTACCCACAGTTAAAAATACGTCCCTCATGTCCTTTCTCTTCCTGTTGGCAGAGCACATCACCTGTGCTCCTCGAGCTCTGATTATACCCCAGCAGAAGCAGCTCAGGAGGTGAGGGTTGGTTCCTGGATCCAAGGGAGAGTAAGTCACTGGAGCTGATTCCTGCTCATCCCCAGGGTCCTGCGGTCAGTACTTACCCAGTGTCTAGGAACTCACTACGGCCATTGCCTGCCTCATTCCCCAAGGACTGGATTTACCCTCCTACCCCCTTTAAATAATAACAAGGAATCCTGGCCTAGTGGTTAAGATAAACACTAGACCTCGAGATCCGTGAGTCAGAACCTACTAGATGAAATTTAACAGGAACAACAAAGAATAACGAATCCAGGCCCAGGTTGGTTTCTTCTTGAACTTCCATCAGTCAATGCGCCCAAATCATGCTCTTGGAATAGTACTTCAGGAACACAATTGGTCCAGGCTGGAATTGTCAGGACTTTTTTCTGAAACCGAACAGCCTTGTCATTCCTGGCCATTCAGCACAACACAGGCTTTTGGACCATCCATCCTCTCCCACGTGGCTCTGTTTCTTCTACTGTTGCCTCTGGAGTTCCATAAAACATAAGGGACTTCAAAAAGTTTGTGGAAAAGTGGAATTAAAAGATAAATGGGATGTTTCCATGAACTTTTTGAAGCCCCCCCGTTAGTCTTTCATGTTAAGTGTCGTTGAGTCAGTTCCAACGTAGTGACCCTGTACAAGGTTTCCAAGGAGCAACTGATGAGCTTGAACCGCCGACCTTGTGATTCAAAACCTACTTTGCAATCTAGTGTATCAACTCACAGCGCCACACCAGGAGTCTACATTCTTTCATAGTGAAGGAAAATCTAAATTGTCAAGTTTTGGGACATCAAAATCACCTGGAGGGCTTGTTAGAAAGTATTGGTCCCACTCCGGCAGTGTCTGATTCAGTGTGCCTAGGGTAAGCCTTGAAATGTGTATTTCCAAAAAGTTACCATATAATGCTGGGGATTGCACTGGAGGAACCACTGATGGAAGCCCTTCCCCATATCCTGCCTTAACTGGAATCTGGTCAGCCCCTTGTAAGTAATTGCTGTCCCTCCCCCTGCCCCCCACGTGGATATTACCTGACTAACGTTTCCGGCCTCTGTTCCAAGGCTTCTAACTTGTGTCTGTCATCATGATTAACCTGTCGTCTTTTACCCAGCTTACACATAAGAACTAACTTTCCCCGCTCTGCATCTACATTCAGATTGCTTGAGAAAATCACACAGCTCTGTAGATTGGTGGCCACATAAACTCATCATCTCCAAACTCGGCTTGCCCTATACAGCTGACATGCAAACCACAATTTCTTATCATCTACTCTAACTTGTTTCCATCCTCAGACCTCTTCTTTCAGGCTCAGTGTGCCCCACTCTTACCATGAAAGGCAATAGAAGCTCTCAGGCCTCCCTGCACCAAAACTCCTACCAAACCAACATCAGACTTGTGGTAGGCTTAAGGAACTCTGGAAGCTTGGTTAATTGGCCTCCCAAGATTTCCCATGTGGTGATGCAGGTTAATGCGCTGGACTGCAAAGTTGGTTTGAACCCCAAGGTTGTCAGTGCACGATCACCAGCCACTCATTCGGAAACCTTAGGAGCAGCAGGTAAGTTTAAACAACCAACCTTTCGTTAGCAGTTCAGTGCTTATTCTACAGCTACACAACAGCACTGCGTAGGATAGTTTTGTTGTTAAGTGCCTTTGAGTCAGTACAATCCACAGCGACCTTGTATAGGGTTTCCAAGGAGCAGCTGGTGAGCTTGAACCACTGACCTTGCGGTTTACACTGACCCTGTGGTCCAGCACATTATCCTACAGTGCCACACCAGGACAGACAAAAATAATAATCTACAAAAGCAGACTGCCACATTTTTTTCTTACAGAGCAGCTAGTCAGTTCAAACTATCAAACATACAGTTAGCAACCGAGCACTTAGCCACTGCGCTACCAGTTCTCTTAAAGGATTTTACTCCTGTGATTCAGTTGTTACACCATGATTGATGTTATCAAAAGGAGATTATCTGTGTGTTCTTAACTAAATATACAAGTCCTTTAAAATCATAGAGTTCTCTCTGGCTAGTAGCAAAAGAGGAAGTCAGAGCCTAATCATGAAAAATATTTGACATGCTATTAAGAGTCTTAAAGATGAAGGGGCCACATGGCAAACAAAGAATGTAATATCCTGAAAGAGCTATCAGCCTCCAGCTGAGAGCCAGCAATGAAATGAGTCCTTACAGAACTGAATTCTGCCAAACAATCTTAATAACCGTAGAAGTCTATTTTTCTCAAGAAATTCCATTAAGAGCCCAGTCCTGCCTACACCTTGGTTTGAACCTTGCGACATTAAACAGAAAACGCAGTTAAGCCTGCACAAACTTCTGAATTTAGAAGTGGCTGTTGTTTTAAGTCATTACATTTGTAGTAATTCGTGACACAGCAATAGAAAACTAAAATAGTGGTTTAAGCAGGTGTCCCTCTTCTTGCAAATATACCTGTGCTTTGGATTAACAGCCAGCAAGCAATGGCAGTATAAGAGCACAGGATCTGAATCCAGACTAGTTTCAGTCCCTGATGCACTTTTACTAGCTGTAAGACTGAGCAAGTTACTTGATTTCTCGATACTTCTTGTTGTCAGGTGCTATTAAGTAGGTTCCAACCCTGTGCACAACAGAAAAAAGGAATGCATGGTCCTGCCCCATCCTCACAATTGTCCTAGCGATTCTATGCATTACAGAGAAAAAAAAAAACCACCCAGTCCTGCCCAACCTCACAATTGTTAGCTTGGGCCTATTGTTGTTTCCACAGGGTCTTCCTCTTTTTCTGCTGACCTTCCACTTTACCAAACATGATGTCCTTCTCCAGGGACTGGTTCCTTCTGATAACATGCCCGAAGTATTACCATTCAGGCTTCTAGGGAGCATTGTGGCTGAACGTCCAACACAGATATTTTTGTTCTTCTGCCAGCCCATGAAACTTCAATATTCTCCAACACCATAACTCAAATGCATCAATTTTACAGCCTTCCATATTTATTGTCCAAATTTCACATGCATATGAGACTATTGAAAAAAACATATCTTGGTTCAGGCATACCTTAGTCCTCAAACTGTAATCTTATTTCTTGAACACTTTTTTTTAAAAGTTTTTATTGTGGATTGAGTGAAAGTTTACAGAGCAGATCATCAGTTTTACATTAATCAAATCACACACCTTGTCTCATTACAACAATTATAATCCCCTCCATGTACCATCAGTTATTAGTATTTCTCTCTATCCACTTTAGCTTTTTTAAATAAAAATCACTCAGGCATCTATAATAATTTACACATCCAAAGGACACATTCTGTAAGTCTGCCTCCTGGCTGCCAGCTCTTAGTCCCTCTTTTCCCATGAATCTAGAATCCTCAGCTGTTCCCCTCTCCATGTCCCCATCTCTGCTTCTGTCTCTAATGTCTTTGCTTTTCTGGATGTGGTCCTGCATTCTGCTTGTGCTCTTCTCCCTTGATGGTCCTAGGGTCCTCTGTTTCTGGACTGTAAGATTAACCACTCCCCTGTTTTTGCTACAAAATTCTACCTTTACAATTATGACAGTCACAAGTGGTCTTTGATAACAATTATTCACTACTGAATCATACGAATCTTATCCCCATCTCTTTTTACCAGACCCATCTAGACAAGATGAAAACTATTCAGTAGGAACTCTTAGCCCCCATACTCTTAAACTAAACTCCCCCTTGAAACCTTGTAAGCCAGTCACTTCATGCCTTTATCGCCCCCTCATTTTAGGTAGCCAATGTCTAAGTTACCCGTCCCTATCTACCCTGTGTACAGAGCGGATAGCATTGATACTTGATGTGAAGATTCCTTCCCTCTCTGTTGGTATTTAGAATTACTACCTCCATGAGTATAGGTCAGGTTCATCAAATTGTAGCACTTTACCCTTGTTTCCTTTATATTAAAAAAAAATTATTATTATTTTTGGTAACCTTCCTC